TCTTTCTTCACACTAGATTATAAGCTACTTCATGCCATTTTCACTCGCGTATCCCTGAGGTGTCTAATGTGGTATTATGCGGGTTCTCAATAAATTTGGATGAAAGAATGAAGACTGAGCAACTATTTCAATGGAATTAAAAAATCCCTGCTCACTTAACATGCCAGCTTTTTTTTCATTAGCTTTCCAGGTTGACCGTTCTCAACATAGATATACAAGACTTCCTCAGAAGTCAGCATTACTCTTACTGAACTCTTACTAAATACAAACAAAGGATTGTAGACACTTGGTGAGAGGTAAAATAGTAAAATGTATGTTCTGCTCCCACAAGGGACTCTCGATCTACTTGCAAGAGATGACCTAGATTGGAAAAGTAATGTGTATGATTTTCCTAAAGAGACAAATGTAGCCTTGATCTCTGGCCTCTGCCGTGCATGGTCCTGGTCCTTACTCCGAGGTACGCACTCACCGAGTCCAGAAGCTGAAGCAAAGCCATGCTGTACCCCGGAGCGCACAGTAGGGCTGCTGTTCTTAGTGGGCTCCTCTAGTACTTTCCACTCGTCTGCCCCAGCCTGTCAAAAAGCGGAGTCCCCAGCGCTGGGGCCACTCCAAGAGGCTTCCAGCTTCCTACTTTCATCTCCACCTTCAACTCTGTTTCTGTTCACTGCAATTTCCCCTCCTCCCACACACACAGTCCTTGGGCCCCTGAAACAATTCTTTGATTCTTCCTGCCAGAGTCCAGAACCTTCTCTTAGTTTTCGCTGGGATTGCTTCAGTTATTGGATTCCAAAAATGTTTACTCTTTGTAGGGTAGTTGCAGATGGAGTATCTACCACACAGACTTCCCATTGCCCAAGTTGACCCTCTTTCATGATCTCTTGTGTTATTTTGCTAAAATTCCCGTCTCTCTCCACCTAAGTCTCACTGACAAATGCCCCGATACCTCAACTAACCTTGGTACAGCCTGAGGCTTAGGAATAGAGGGAGTCGGGACTAAAGAAACACACATTGTAGCAAAAAGGAACCTCCTAAACATATATGGTCCACAAAAGTCTGTGTACCCTTTTATTCAGTAGAGCCCACGGACCCATGTATGATATTCTAAAGCAACTGGAGCAGCTGGGGGCTGTGAGTAGCCCCTGAAAAGGCTTCCCAGGAGAGCTGCTGAATTTCCTTCAGCTGCTTAAAGAGAAGTATTGTTTGTCAAAACTGAAAGATACTTATTTTTGCTTGGAGCAACAGGGATAGAGTAGATAATATAGGGTCATTTGAGGAGCAAGACGTAGTGATGGCACAGAAAGACATTTAAATTCTCAAAACTGCTTTTTATTTTTTGGTATACTTTACAGATAGATGTTAGGAAATAGCATGACCTCAAAATACCTCTTCGTAGTCTCACAAGAAGCCCTTGGTCGCTACATTGTCTTTCGCTCCAGCATGTCACAGATAATGACAAAGCCACTGTTGTTAATTTCTATCACACATTTTTTATGGAAAATTCTACCAGATTTGATAAAGAAAAGGAAAGAAAACAATGCATATGCCAGACTTATACTTGTTCCCCAGGTTTTGTTTGTTTTTGCTTTATTTTTTTGTTTGAACTAAGTATGGGGTTTAGAATTTGTCTCTTGTGAGTAAAGTGTGCATTCTCCTGGTCCACTCCACAACTCCCACATAAAACTAATAGCCTCATGTTTCTGCTTTTGAGGCAGCAGGTTGTAGCGGTAAGAGGGAGATGCAGTGTTTGAATGGACCACAGGGTTAATATGAGCCATCGTTCTGTTCCTATTAGAATGCGACCCCTTCATGACAGGGCTCGTGCCCTGTTCACCTCTGTATTCCTACACCTGGCGCACTGCCTGTCACGTGCCAGATACTCAGTAATATTTGTTGAATGAGTTAAAAGTACAATCCAAGGAGAAACATATTAGTAAGAGGATTATAACAAGATTGTAGAAATAATTCCATTTCCTTCTGTACTACTAAAACCAAATCTGAGATGCAACATTCTGTTCCAGGAGCCCAATTCCAGAGCAATATTGACAAACTAGAATCAGTTCAAAGCAGGTCATCCTTATGGAGAGGGGTGTAGACGTTGGAGGTGTAGGGAAATTTACCCTGGAAGAGAGAAGACTGATGGTAGATAGGAAAACCGTTCCCTGGTATTTGAGGGACAGTCATGTAGAAGAGGAGCCTCGCTTATTTATTCCATGTTGTTTATCAGGAGAGAACCTATATCATAAGGAGGGGCTTTTCAGCTTTGGGGCTTTGGTGTCTGTATTTGTCTTATGGTAGAATTGGATGCCTTGTGACTTTGGTTATTGGGTATACCAAATAACCAATTTGAATATTGTTAGATAGAAACTTGTGATGGGTAAGAGTTTAGATTAATTGTGAGCTCACTTTTAATTTTTCTGTTAATTAGAGATTCTTATTTCCTTGAAATACATACTAGAGCAATTGTTAAGCTTACTATATATTAATATATGTATGTGTGCTTTATTTTTTTTAGAATGGCTATACTCCTCTACATATTGCTGCCAAGAAGAATCAAATGCAGATAGCTTCCACACTCCTAAACTATGGAGCAGAGACTAACATCATGACAAAGCAAGGAGTGACTCCACTCCATTTGGCCTCGCAGGAGGGGCACACGGATATGGTCACCTTGCTTCTGGAAAAGGGAGCCAATATCCATATGTCAACCAAGGTATCCTGTTCTTACCTCTTGTTTCTGTCAAGAGTCTTTTGGATGAATGTCAACAGAAACCAACCAAAGATAACTTGGAACAAAAAAAGGGAGATGCATTAAAAGGAAACAGGGATATGTTACAGAGCCCAAGGACAGGACTAGAAGACCATGGGGGAGCAAGGGAGACTGTCTCACAGACTCTGCCTGAATGCCTACATCTTGGCATCTTGACTTTTCTCCCCAAGCCAGCTTCATTCATCTCTCCCTGTAGATCTGCCTTTTCTGCTTCTCTGTTGTGTGAAGAGGCTACCCTGTGGCTCCCAAGAGCTAGCATCACTGTAATTCAAGCAACCAGACCAGATTGCCCTAGTGTCTTCTGGTCCTAATTCCAAATTTCAGAGAGAGAGAGAATGGTTCGATTTGGGGTGTGGCTCAAACAACTGCCTCTGAGCCAACAGGCCCACATCCCCCACCCAAGTCATTCTCCAGCCCTGCTGAGCACCAGGGGTGCCTCTGAGTGGGGGGCAGGAAACTCAGTAAAACAGAGATTTTTCGAGCTAATTTCAGCCTAGCTTGGATGGTTGCGGGGATGGTGGTCAGAATATCAGTGTTTTAATAAAGCACCTCAGTCACGTCAGCCTTTCTCCATGGATTGGCCTTTGTGTGACCTCCATATTAATTATAACAGAATGACAGTCAAGGATATAAGGGGAAAAGATAGTATTCAAATATAAAAATATTTAGATTTTTACAAGTACATATCTTTCTATCTACCAATTTATCCATCCATATATATCTGTAGATCTACTTATCTTTCTATCTTATATATACTCTACTATAAGTAGCTGCTGAGAAACTCAAAATTGGAAGCTATATTTATAAATTAGTTTGTCATTTGGATCTCTTGACGCTTTTTGTAACATGTGTGGAGTTCGTGAAAATTAAGTTTCTTAGGATTTTCTACAAATATGCAAATACTATGCTTTCTACGTCTCACTGTTGAGTTAATAGTGCTTTCGATATGTAAATTATAAATTGGTCTTAATAACATTTGTAAATAGATTGTGTAGCATGCATCCTTTAGGAAGAGATATGAGACAGGCAGATTGTCTTGAATGCCTCCAGAGTCCTGTTTCTTTACCATGCAGAATGTTCCAGTGTGTCCCTTATGCATGTCTCTGGCCTTTATCAAAAGTCCTCACAGATCCTTTGTTGAAGTGTGTTGAGAGCTAATTGTAGAGTTAGTCTTCCGAAAGATATTTGGATTGTAACAAGAATGAACATAATAACGCCTTACGATGAAATTCAGGGTATCAGCCAGACACTCGCTGAAGTCTGAGGCATGGACCTCCTTGTGGTTATTGAAGTCCTGACATTCAGGTGGTCATTTATCCTATTGGGGATATTCTGGCCATGAAATAAAGAGTATTTTATTTAATATTAGCATATGAAGGGAGCATGTATTTACTGTCTGTTAGAAAGAAATAAATCTTCATTTGAAAATAAACAAGAGAAATCCATAAACAGATTCAGCAAAATTTTATGTAGAATTAAAATTCAAGACAGTTCATGAAACTGATCTTACAGCGCTTCTGATGGGGTTATTTTTAATTTATAAAAATGATAGATAGGCCGGGCGCGGTGGCTCACGCCTGTAATCCTAGCACTCTTGGAGGCTGAGGCGGGCGGATTGTTTGAGCTCAGGAGTTCGAGACCAGCCTGAGCAAGAGCAAGACCCCGTCTCTACTAAAAATAGAAAGAAATTAATGGGACAACTAAAAATATATAGAAAAAATTAGCCGGGCATGGTGGCACATGCCTGCAGTCCCAGCTACTTGGGAGGCTGAGGCAGAAGGATTGCTTGAGCGCAGGAGTTTGAAGTTGCTGTGAGCTAGGCTGATGCCACGGCACTCACTCTAGCCAGGGCAACAAAAGCGAGACTCTGTCTCAAAAAAAAAAAAAAAAAAAAAAAAAAAAAAAAAAAAATGATAGATACATATTTGGAATCCGTTCACTATGTCCTCCGTTAATGGTATTCTTCTAAATACATTACTTTCTTTGAGAGAGTTTTAGCAGTCAGTCAGCAAATATTTAATGAGTATATTTGAGTTGCACACTCAGTAGTGAAGAAAAATACTCAATTTTGAATCACAAAGTAATTATATTATCTTTATAACAATGATTTCAGTATTATCTTTGAGAGGTGTCCTAAAGACAAAGGCATGATGTATTTGTCCCCGAAGTAAAACTTTGAGAAATGTGTTCAGGTATATCTGAATAATAATACACTATATAAATATATGTATAAAAAATATAACTTTGCCTTTCAGTTGGTATTATATTTAATAAAATAATGCAACTGTAAAAATATCTCAAATAAGAAGCCAAACTGATAAATTTTCCTATTGCTTTTGAAAAGAACATATATTCTTTTTCTATTTAAAGCAACTGAAATCTATAATTTCATACTTTCCAAATGATTATTTCTCAGTAAGAACTATAATATAGAAATGATATTACATTCCTTATCCAATCACCATAAAATAAAACCGTTTGTTGAGTCTACCAGTGTATCTTAGGAAATAAATTACTTTTTTGGAAAAGAACTCCTTCAACATCTTCTATTTTCTTGATTTATTAAAAAGGTTTACATAATTTGATTTAGATATGCAAGTTTATACAATAGTAAACTATAGAGATTTTCATACTGGTTGTTAGTTTGTAGTCTTACATTGTAGAAAATCCATTCTGCAAATAGAGTAGAAAAGGACACATGCATTTGAAATGCCATTGAAAATGTCTTTGAAATTTGATGATCACTTCATTTAATGATTATTTCAATGACATGTTTTAAACAGGCCAATTGTGTCTATAAAGAAGAAATATGTTTATGTTTGCTATTTTAATGTGGAGAAATTAAAGATGAGTAAGAATCATTTGTTTTGTCCCAGTACGCAGATTTTTTATACATTGGGATTAAATAATATTTGTTTAGAAGTGATGAAATTGTAATGCAGAGGATGTGTCTAGTATCTTACCCTGTTGTATGAAACTCAAAGCCGACCTCACACACAGCCTTAAGTATTAAAAAGCCCCAGGCCCTCAAATAAAAGGCCCCTTCTCAAGTTGTAGAATGCTTTTCTCTCTGTAGCTTTCAGTTATATATTTTTTTAAGGTCAATGCATTGTTTGATTTCTGGAAGTAACACCATGGCTGGAGATCGCGAATGTGAGAGAACAGGGCTTAGCTCTCTCAGCCTACGTGCTAACGCAGGACAGCAAGCTGCAAAGCGATGGAACAGGGCTGGGATGGGATTACTGTTTAAAAAATTTAGCATTTACTGGGAATGACCGAGAAAGCATACTCTCTTTGGGTGCTAGAGAAAACTGTTCTGAACTCATTTCCTGTAACTCTGTACATTTTTTTTACATTGAAGTGATATTTTTATTGATAAAATATAGATTATTGTTATGGATATAAAGTAGAAGTAATAGTTGGTTAATCAATTATTTAAGTAAATAAATAGATTCAGTAGGAGGCCCAGATGGGTTTGAAAAGAATGTTGTTTGGAAGGTTATTACCTGAGTTATTTTAAAGTCTAACATCATAGTAGAAGTACCTAATATAGAAAATAGAAAATGTAATTTGCTGAGAGTGTCGATTAACTTGGAAAGTGTGTCTTGGATGAGAAGTCGTTACCTTAGAGAGTTTATGTTAGATATCAAAAGATGCAGTTTCTACGGAGAGGCTCTGAGTTTTCCAGGATTTTTTCAAGACATGATATTATAGATGAAGCAATGCATTTTCTTCTTCAAATGTGCCCCTTTGGTTCCGTTCTTCCCATAGAGTGGACTCACGTCCTTGCACCTTGCAGCCCAGGAAGACAAAGTGAACGTTGCAGAGATTCTCACCAAGCATGGAGCTGACAAAGATGCTCACACAAAGGTAAAGCAGTAGCCCCACTTCGGGTCACCCCGTGTCCAGGTCGTCCCTCCTCGAAAGTCCATTCTGAAGTATAAACTATAGTCCCACCTGCTCACACGTCGATAGTGGCTCCCCATTTTCCGTGGGAATCAAGTCTGAATGGGTGGTATGGTGTCAGGACCATCATGTGAAGACTCCAGTTTCACAGGCTGGGGTCTGCCCTCTCCCTTGTCGCTTTGGTTGGTCCAGATGACTTGCTGCTTTCTTCCTGCACTTGTTCATCTCCACACTCTTGGTCTGAAAGTGGGTCTTCCTCTTTATGCCATTAAATTCTTACCCATTCTTTAAGCCACTATAGCTATGTCTTTCCTGTATCTCTTCCTGATCCCATCAGAGTCAATCTCTTTTTGCTGTTTTCAGATCATATTATTTGTGCCTTTCTTAGTTCCTTGTCAGATTATGTTACATATGCGTCTATTCTCTCTTGCTGGTATTAAATTCCCTGTGGCCAGGAGTATATATGTATAATTTGCTAAATAATGCTTTTACAGTCAGGATGAATTTCTACCCACCCTACAGTAACTGCAACTACCTAATCATTCTACCCTAGTGTAGGAAAATTTCTGCCTTATTAATTTGTAATTTTTTATTATTATTTACAGCTTGGTTACACTCCTTTAATTGTGGCTTGTCACTATGGAAATGTGAAAATGGTCAACTTTCTTCTGAAGCAGGGAGCAAATGTTAACGCAAAAACCAAGGTAAAATACTCATGGTCATTTTCATTTTGTATAAGCAAAAAGGTCCAGTCATCTGGACACTTCACTACCTTACCAGAGCTACAAGTGTATTATTTTTTCTTTTTAGTTCTTCCTAAGTGATTTTGAAGAGGCGACGTAGTTTTGTAATTGTTTGTTCTAATAACCTTTGACAGCCATGTAGCTTAGCTCATGTAGGTTAGCTTCAGAACTACTTCTATCATAAAGTAAAAGTAGCTGACGTCAATTTCACAATTTACTTCAGGATGCAATACAGGCCTGCTAGAACCTCTTGATGTTCTGGCAGATCCTATACATTGTTTCAGAGCCTTGGTCCCCACCCCCGAGCCCCTCATCACCTGTTGAGGAAATGCACAGGCAGCCTAGACTGTGCCTTCCATTTTGAATGAACTCTGCCACATTGAGAACATCGTGTGGCCATGCTCAGTGAGGCAATAACATGGAAGGCCTGTGCGGGAAGTTCTCAGGAATATTGCAGAGCTGATCTGATCCCAACGGTTTTTCCCAGTAACATCTGAAGTATCCTATTCAGCAAAGCAAGGTCGGAACATCGCACAGTACTTTGGTACACTCAAATTGGTTCAAGGGGAAGAGAAACGAGTAATATGACTGTGGCTGTTACACATAATGTAACTTGCAGCTCCGGGTTCTGCGGTTCAAAGATATATGTATTTGCATGTTTTTCTTAAGTTCATATATCAGAATTTCTAATTGCAGCTCTCTGAGTTGGCTCAAGTATTAATAAATTAGTGTGGGTACATTCAGGAGTTTGCAAAGATTCAAGATGTACTAATTAAAAATATATCGAAGTTTTGCGACTCAGTCTCGCTTTTTATATTCTCTTGGAAGCAGAAACAAAATCATTTCTATACATAAACGTATTTACATGCTAATATAAAATAAAATTATTTTTTAAATTATAAATAATACTGTTAACATTAGAGATTCAAATTTATAATCTTACTCTAGCAGGAGGAGCTGTTGCCTAGTTTCTGACCAATTATTGAGTTCTTATAAAATTGTGCTTTGACATTTATTTAAAAGCACTAATATAATTCTCAGACATTAGCTCCTAACACCATTTTTGCTAAGCCAGCTCACATGTAAGCACTCCAGGAAAGATATTCTTGTTGGAATCTGGGTGTTATCTTGAAATGCACAAATGCAAGAGGCAATGAGATGACAGTAGACCTTAAAAATGTTTTATCTACTTTTTTGTTTAGTGTTTTATTGTTGAAATGATTATAATATTTAGAAGCCAAACACTATATTGTCTAGGGAACATCAGTGACCTCCCCAGAGTTTTATGCCGATCAAATGAACTTTTGATTGAGAGAAAAATCTCATTTTAACATTTCAGTTTTATTTATTTTTTAAATGAATTGTGTGGCTTTCACTGTTACATTTAGCTCCACGTATCTTCAGAGGAGCAGATACATACATACCTCAAAAGACAGTCTTCCAATAAACCCTTCAGAATTTTTTCATATGAAATAACATCTCTAGAGATTACGTTTTCTTTCTCACATCTTATGTGTAACCATAGTTACTAAAAATTGTTTCATTGCCTTGAAAACGTAAACATATGTATTAACTTTACTCCTCAAACATTCATGACTTAGCATAAAAGATTTGGAAAAGTGAACTTATTTTATGGAACTATTAGTTGCTTAAAATTAGAATGAAACCCTGTCACAACAGCTTGAGGCAAACCAGACGTGGTTAATTATATGTTTAACTTGTAAAGAGGGTTTAGAGCTATAGCATAGAAAAGGAAATTTTCTTTATAAAACATACTGCAAAGATTATAGACCTCTTCAATGAAAGGGGAGAAAAAAAACAACCAAAAATGTTTGCTAAAATTTTTAAAGCTAAAAAAGAAAACATTTTCACAGACGACTGATTGGATCCTTCACCTAACGTGAAATCTTGGCTTTTCCATTTTCAAATGAGAAAATTAGGGTTTAAAGAAGTTTAGGGATTTGCGAATAGTTGGTAGAAGAACTGGGTCTAGACCTTCTAGCCAGATAGGCCTGTGACGGTGAATTAAGATTCAATGAAATGTCCATGTTAAAGCTTTTGAGAAATATTCTCCCTCACCAGAGATTTCAGGTAAAGGTTAGGTTAAATCAGGCCTGGGGGACATGTTTCTGACCACAGTGTGATCTATGGAGGACAAGATTGTTGCTTGGGCATTGTTAATTTATATCCATTTATAGAAAATTTATATTTGTTTATATCATTAATATATGTTAATATATTATTATATTATATAATTTTGTTAATTTATATGCTAAGTTATGTAGCACATAGCATGTGGCTAGGAAATACTTGTGGAATGAATTAGCTGGACTGACACAGAAGAGATGAAGTAGAGTCGGTTGGCAGGACGTTATAAACACAATGGAAAGGAAGAATTTGTAGGAAAAGAAACGTCACTTACTCTATGTTCCTCAAATGTCCATGGATTATCTGATGTGAGAGCGGAGTCCCCGCAATAGCTGTAGGTTTCTCAGAGTCCCTGGGATTGGTTTGTATTTCCAGGTTTCCGGGGTCATTCCACTGCTGGGGTGTACAGCAGACGTGAGGCTCCTGACGTGGCAGAGCTGGGAATTTGCCAGACTTATGGACACCCAGACAGATAGACACTCACACACACTGGTATATTACTATGAACAGAAAGTCCACAGTGAATGTATAGAAAGAATCACGTGGTACCCACAGGTCTAGACAGACATGCCCTGTAGACAAGTTAAGCAAATGTGCATCTTGGGCAGGAGGCAGCAGTGACATTGGACAAGGGGCTATTATACATACATACTCTTAAAAGCTTAGGGCATGAGTGGGCCACTCAGACTTAGAGCCCAGGACAATGGGGTCTGAAATATATAAATAAAATTTTATCAAGAGTGGGGCCAGTAAATTTTTAAAAAATAGTTCTGATAGCCACTGGCTGTCATGGTCTTCTACATAGGAACTAAATCTGGAATGGTTCTAGAGAAATTGCTTAACTCTGTTATTTTCAGTTTCATCATGTCTGAAACGGGGAGAAAAATATTCATTTATTCAATCATTTGTTCATTGCCCATTGAGTCAACCATTAGTTATGAAACACCTACTAGGTACCGAGTACCTGCATTTTCAGAATTGTGATGAAGAGACCATAAGTCTAAGGTCCAGTGTCTGGTACAAAACGAATGCGTAACGCATGGTTGTTATTACTGTTTTGTTGTACTTCCAAGGGTTCAAGTGCAATTTTTAAAATTAATGTCACTCTGCGACCAACCTGTATCACACCTACCACCCACTCCAGTCCTGAGCAAGACCGGCCTCGTGCCACCCTCACCGGCAATTCCTCACAAGTCATGGCCTACAGAGCTTTCATCTGCATGGAAGTGTAGAACAGATGTTCAAAATCTAGTTTTTAAAGATATTTTCTTTATTGAGGCTGGGCCACTGGGCTGCCAATGAAGTCGTCTGCTTTCTTAAGTGTACGTGTGTGCCTGTCTTTGACCAAAGCCGTTCTCTGAAAGCAATGTAAGGCGTGGTTTACTTGCATTGATTTCGAGTCCCTAAAGCTAAGTCAAAGGTTAATTATTGGGAAAGTTATGATGAACAAGCAGTGGATCGTGTGACCTTCTGAAGCCTTTGGTTAAAAACAATTTGATCCTTCTTTGTTTCTTAGGGAAGAAATCATGGTGACAATGCCTTTTCTCATTTTAAATCTCCTTGCAGCATACCCATTTTTTAAAATGCTAATTGGTTAAAATATAATAATAGCACTTGGAGCCTGTTAATCTTGTCGTTTCATAAACTGGTCTCTTCCCTGTGTTGAGCAGACCATAAGGTGTGCGGGAGTGTTTGCTGCTGCGAAACCGGTTGCTGTAATCTTGGGCTCCAAATAAACAAAGCATTTGGGATGGTTTTGTTGTAAATAAGACTAAGAAATTCAAAGTGAAGGCCAATCTGACTTTCCTCTCCCTCTGCCCGCGGCCACTGTCGTCCACAGAACGGCTACACGCCTCTGCACCAGGCCGCGCAGCAGGGCCACACACACGTGATCAATGTCCTGCTCCAGCACGGGGCCAAGCCCAACGCCACCACCGCGGTAAGGCACGACACGGCTGTCCCCACCACGCTTCCTTCTTCCTCCTCTCTTGCCCTGGTGGCCTCTTGTCTGAGCTGAGTTCAGATACATCGTCCTTCAATAAGCCCCTGGACTCTGGAAAGCCCCAGGTTTTGGGAAAGCCTTTCCAGAAGTCAGTGTGACTTCAGTGCTTGCCCCGGGAGGGAGAGCAGCCGGCCTGACTCGGCTGGCTCGCTCTCTCTCTGCTGGGGGATTGCTGGGGTGTGCTCTGCTTCCAGCTTGCTCTCAGATGTGAGCACAAATCCTCCGCTACCTCCCTGCCTGCTCACTGGCAAGCAGCTTTCTTGAAGGCTGCTGCTGCGTTAGACAAAGCTCCCTGGGCTGTGGAACCATTGAAATGTAAACTAAGCTGTGCAGTTAAACAAACCCGGTCCCCCCAGTGGCCTGGGCTGGGTGCAGCCTGCCTTGCTTGCTGGTGCTGTTTTGCTGCATAGTGAACTTCTGCACAGCTGTAGCTAAATCTGTTACTGTATTCCCCATGGCAACATCTTACCTGACCTCTGATGAGGAATAAGTGTGCCTGGTGCTTGCAAATGGTTTTTGGAGGCATCAAGAGGTACTTTCCTACGCATAAGACAGTGTTTGTGGAAGATGTTTGACAACCTTAGGGTTAAAGCGTCAAGTGCTTCTTATTAAAAAGAGCAGGCAGATGCAAGCTTGTTATGTTACCATGGTGACCTGGGCCATAGTCTAAAGAAGTTACAAAGACAGATTTAGACGTAATGGTAAAAACTAGTGATTTTCCTAGCGGTGCCTTGTTTTGGAAGGAAACGCTGGCTCATGCAGAGCAGCGGGTGATCTCATTGGCTCACATCGCAGTCCTCCCGCTCACTCCTCACTCTCTGTCTTTCACTCTGTCTCCAGAATGGCAACACCGCCTTGGCCATCGCGAAGCGTCTGGGCTACATCTCCGTGGTCGACACTCTGAAGGTTGTAACGGAGGAGGTCACCACCACCACCACGGTGAGTACCGGGGACCGATTCGCTTCTGCCCTGCTCCCTCGGTTTTCAAGCCACATACACGCACAGTCCTTTTCACTCACAAATTGTTTGGAGCTTTTAGTGTTGAACTTCTTTTGTTGAAGGTATTGTAGGGAATACTTAGAAGTGCGCAGAAGTAAATGAATGGACACAAGGAATGCAGGGGTTTTCGCTTCTTTTACTCAACATAACCCATATAAAATGTGTGAATCCAGTTTTATAATATTTAGTTCCTTTTTCTGTGACTAGCTTCTTTTTCTCTGGCTCCTCTGCCCTTTTCCTTGAGTATATATTTAAATTTTTAATTTTTTTCTCTTTTGAATACAACTGCTGGTTCTTTAGGAGAGAACAGTGATTAAGATTAGGACTGTCTTTGCTGCAGAAACTCTGGAAGAGAAAAGACGTTGATAATAGTGAATCCTATGCTCCCGTATCCTTCAGTGGGAGCAAAAGTTTAAAGAAAGCCTCCCAACAGGGGGGCTTCTAGTTGAAAGTGGAAATGCTATTATATTTGCATTTATTCATTTATGAACTTTTTATTTGAAGTACAAACTCTAAGAATAATGGCTCTTTAATTTATCTTTGTAAAGTAGAACAAGAATAAAACATTTGCTGTTCTTCAGAGACGAATAAAGAATTCTGAATGAGGTTCTAGTAAATGCCCCCAGCTAGGAATGATGCTTATAGAGTTTAGGAACACTTGGTTCTTTTGATAGATGCAAGGAAAAAGAAAGGAATTTGTTCTTTAGGCTGACAGTAAGTCTCCGTTGACATATATCGAAGTGATGGAATACAGTTGGTTTAACGTGCAATTTTAAATAGAGGGGAGTATGATTTATTAATGAGCTGCAAGACACAGGCTGAATTTAGATGGGAGAGAATAGTACTGCTTGTTTCCTGAAGCAGAATTGTAAAACCTTTGGCCAGGATTCCACAACATTTTTAAAGATTTAAAGTACAGCTTTAATAAATTATATAGGAGAATGGTCTTTTCGCTGCCCAGCACCATACTTGTGGGTCACTGTATGGTTGAATCTTAATGTTTTTTTTTTTTTTATGATACAGTATCTTTCTTATACCTAGAAAATCTTCCTGTTAAGGACCTACACCTGTATGCCATTTCAATTGGCATCTTTAAAACAATGTGTACGTCACAACAAATGAAACTTTTAGTGGCAAGATTGGCCATGCACATCTGTTCTTAGAAGTCACGTTTTCTCTCAACTTTTATCACCTTTTCTATGCTCTGGGAGTCCTGTATGTGCATTTTTACCAAGTGACCACTAGATGGCAAGCTTGCACCTCTTGCTTATCTGGGACCTGCTTCCATTTATTTCATTAACTAATTCATTCCTTCATTATTCATCAGATATAAAATATGCGCTGAGTTCTGTGCTGAATGCTAAAGAGTCATCAGTGGCTAAACCCTTATTCCCTCCCCATAAGCAACTTTATTGTAGTGGGAGTGGAGAATGAGACTCAGGCTTTGTAAGAAAATAACTTTGTCTTTTGCATCAACAAAACTATGGAACTTAATGTGTCCAGTTTCAAAGAGATCTCAGGTTTATAAATATTATTCAGAGGGAATGACTTTAAACATAAAGATCTATATTTAAAAAGAGGAGCAATCTGCTTTCTCTAATTTGTCTCTAAATACTCTAACTGCTGTCTCTAAATAAGCTCCCAGATACTTAGTCAGAAATCAGACGTAAGGTCATCTCCCCACCACATCTAGCCCTAGGTGGGATGAGAACTCCGTTTAGAACCCTCTGTGAGCTTTTTGTTCTTCCCTGGTATCTACTAATCTGCTATTCTCCACACTGTCCAGCTGAGCATTGCTCCAACAAAAGTCACTGCACTTAGAATTCAAGTTTCTAGGTGAAAAGTCAATAAAAAATACAAAGTGTAAGAGCATTTTTGCTTTTAGTCGAGGCATTAAGAACCCGTTGTCCACATTAACTGCAGACGTACTCCTTTTGTCTACACAGGTAGTTTTGGTGGCTACATATTTTAATGCTGATTTCCCTTTACTGTCTCCTCTGCTTTGAATTGTGAGTTTGTTTTGTGAAATGGAATTTGGGGGGCAAGACTGAAAATATGAATTTATTCTTGTCTGTTATGGGGGTCTTCTTACATTACGCTTCCTTTCTTTGGGAAGAGATTTTCAATCATTCTTTTTCCGCATAATTTCTTTTCCGCATAATGTATTATTAATTTTGCTAAAAACAATAATTAATATTTAGGAATAAAAATATGCCAGGCATGGAGGGCAGATCTAGGATTCAAATTTGAGTTGTTGGATTCCAAAGCCCATGTTCTTAACCACTCTGACATAACTGACCTTGATTTTGCTGAAAGTGGCTTAACAGGAATTTTGTGAAAGAACCCTTTTCACCTAATTTCCAACAACAACAAAAAAAAACCATTTAAAGAGTGACCTTTATTGATTTTAGTGGAAGCATCGTATTCAATATTATTTTCTAAAGTCTACAAATTCACTGCAAATAATTTGGAACTACTAACTGGTGGTAGCAAATAGCACAAGAGACAACATAGTAATTGTATAAAATTAATAAAATTAAATGTAATGTTATTACCATTTAAATGTTAACAGAATTACAGCTACACCAACAGACATTAATTTCACATCAATTGGATTCATATGATATGCCATTTGGGCAGCTATGTGATTTCTTTTTGATCAAAGAAAGTTTTCTTTGCTAGTCCTCCCTTCGAGTTCTTTACCCCAAAGTATGAATAACATCATTGTGTAAAGAGACAGCAGTTTGTAAAGGAAAAGTCACTGCTGTAGAAATTTCTGAGACATTTTGGAATCATGGTTTGTTTCCTTAACCTTTGCTTTTCTAACTTCTAAGACGCAGCAGGGGCCATGAGACAGTTTAGCATTCTCAGGGGGTTAGATCGCTACACGTTTGCCAGAGCAGACATCAGCCTGGCGGGGACACATTTCCAACAGCAGCGGCCAACAAGCCCCATCTACTAATGCAGCTTGCAAGGACTGTGGGCTATGACTCACCCCTGCACTTATTGATCAGCTGTCATCAGTTGTTTTTATTATTTGCATAATTTTAAAGTGACCACATCTTATATTGTATATATAATCATTGATTTGTAGACTATAACTTACTGAATAAATTATTAAAATAAAAATGATAATTATTATTTAAACATTGGGAATATTTAAATGAACAGTTAAGAAAATGTAAATATTCTAAGTCCTAAATCTTATCGGGTGTCATGAGTCAGTTAAAATGGGAATCAGGGGAGGGGGATGAAGAGGAGTTGTTTAATGGGTACAAAAATACCGTTAGGTAGAAGGAATAAGCTCCTGTATTTGGGAGCACAATGGGACGGCTATGGTCAAAAATTTATTGTATATTTCAAAGTAACTAGAGGAGTGGATTTGGCATGTTTCCAGCACAAAGAAATGATAGTTGTTTGAGGTGATGAATATCCCAGTTATCCTAATTTGATCATTACACACCGTATGCTTGTATCAAAATATCACAGATACCCCATAGATATGTACAATTATTGTGTATCCATAAAAATTAAAAATAAAACAAATTTAAAAATGAAAATCATAAAAATGACAATGCAATAAATACTTGGAAAGTCATTTGATACCTTTGGAGATGGAGCCAAGATCTTTTCTGTGAATACAGGTCCATTGATTAGAAGCTAAATTGTCATTTTCGCACAAAGAACATCAATACATCCTATACTGTTTGTGTGTATATATCCTAAAACGTCTATATCTGTATAGTATTTATATATCCTGTGTATTATCTTAAAGAGACATTATACTGAGTGTAGAACCTTTTTAAACTTTCGACTTTTTTTTTTTCAGTCCGTTATAATTGTCTCAACCACGTCTAATTATGTGTTAGTTTTGGTGACTCACCTTTGTTGAGACTTTCCAAAGCATTTACCTTAATTTTTATAGGAAAAAAACAGTATTTACATAATATTTGATTTAATTATCTAAGTTATATTGACATGTATGATTGGTATAAACAGATTTAGAAATAAAAACAATGTTAGCCTGAAACTCCAGTGATGGCAGCCATGGGCATGAGCTTTAAAGCCTGGTGTGCTGTCGCTGATCACTCATGGTGCTGCGGGGTGTGGTGAACGTGTAGTATAGAGGAAATTGGTGACCAGGAGGATTGACTAAGCAGAGGCTGGCTAAGTGAGGGACAGTTAAGTATACTTTTTCTTTTGTAGAGAACAAACCAGATATTACCCACCATCTATTAAATTTGTACACAGTATACTACTCATTTTACGTTTTCAAGCAGTTTCTAATCTTGACCATAGCATCTTAGATTCTATAGCAGAAGGAGATGCCCATGCCCATTTAATTGTAGCCTTGATTTTTATGTATTATTCAAATCCAGTTGCATAAAACCATATTTATGTTTTAATAATCAAGTTTTCAAATGATACTTTGTTTAAAAGGGAAAAAATATGTATTCGTTTCTTATTGCATTACTCATAAGTAGGAAAACTTATTTACCATCCATTCAACAAATATTTACTGATGGTTTTCCAAGGGGCAAACACACATCATATATAAATGAATACTGTATTTACTACATTGTATATAGAGGCCACTTTTACTATCTATACAGCAAAATATCCGTGACTGATATAATTACTAAGTGTTACTTTTTCTGTTGCAACATGTTTGCTAGTAATGACTCGATAGCATTCAGAGACCAAACTAAAGCATTAGTTATTTCCACTCTCACAAGTACAAAGAAAATACAGTCCCACTATCAGCATCTGAAAATAGAAACTTAGCCTACCAGGCAACATAACTTATTCATTTGGAAAGTATCTCCATCAATTATTTTCAAACAGAAGCATCCTCTTATGTTTACTGTGAAGGGCAAATACTCTAAAATATTTCTGCAAAAAATGGACTTCCTGGTGTAGTCTAATATGGTAGACATCATTTCACATTTTTGAATCATTTTCTTTACCCCTTAGATCCTTACAAAATAAGTTTCAAAAAAAGTTTAATAGGCTATTGTAGTAGGGTGGTCTCCATCTTATATTTTAAATGCAAATCACTTTTCCACAATTTATATACTTTCCCTAATACAGGAAAACGAATTTCAAATTGAGCTACACAATAGACCCGCCTAAGGAACTTTTAAAAAAGAATCTGGGCTTATTTTGGCTGGGCCCCATCCCCAAGGATTTTGATTTAATTGGCCCGTGATGAGACCTAAGCAACAATGTTTTAAAAATTCCTGTAATAATTCTAATATACTGGAATTTGGCCAGGCACGGTGACTCATGCCTGTAGCATTCTGGGAGGCTCAGGCGGGAGGATCGCTTGAGGTCAGGAGTTTGAGGTTGCTGTGAGCTAGGCTGACGCCACGGCACTCTAGTCTGGGCAACAGAGCGAGACTCTGTCTCAAAAAATAATAATAATTCTAATATACTGGAATTATATACTAGCTAGAATTGAATACCACTGATATAGAACACAGGTTATAATTTATCTGTGTTAAATTTATAAATTAAAATTTATAGTATTAAAATAATAATGATATGGTATGTTGTAATAATCTTTTTGAGTTCATTCCTTCAGCAAATATCTATCAACCACCAATATTCTCCAGATCTTTGGATGTTTGCTTTTGTATTTCCTGCAGCATTTAGTTTGCTTTCAGTGAGTGAGACACTACACAATTATTTAAACATCACTAGAAATATGCTGAGAGGCTGAATTTACTACTCCAGTCTCCGATTGTGCCTTCATGAGAATAGTGGGAGACTTTCTTTGCGTTCTCTATTTCTTCCTGTTTTGTTTTTTTTTAACCGAAACTTCACCCAAAAGAAAATCTATGTAGTCATGTGGATTTTTTTTTTTTTCATTTCAAAATGTTACGGGGTACAAATGTTTTTGTTTACATGAGTCGCTTTCCTAATGCTTGAGTCAGGGCTATAATTAAATGTCTTTTGCATAATTTTACGTCATCAGTTTTTCAATATGTATTTGGGAAGCTCTCACTATGTTTCATAGAAGATTGTTCTGTGGAACAACCTTCCTCTTCAGTGACTCACGCACACTCTCACATGGGCGGCAGATGAGCAGACACGGCACACGTCGCTGCGTGTGACGTGGCGTGCGCGGGACTCCAGGAGTGCATAGCAGCAGATAAACAGTGCTAAACAAAGAAATTCCCTGCGGAGGGTCAGGGAATGTTTCTCCAAGGAAGTCACATCTGATAGGAGCCAAGAAAAGAGAGGAAAGAAGATTTCTGGTAGATGAAAGAATATGTGGAAGAACTCAGAGGCTTGAGAGAACATGACTGGTCCAGAAGATTAAAGCAGCTGCACAGGGTTGTAGCAGGGAGTGAGAGAGGAGGCCTCGCCCCTCGCCCTCCCCTCTGTCTACAGCACCAGGGGTCTCCTGGGCCAGGCCGTTCAGTTTATCTGAAGGCAATGGAGAGGCGCACGGCATACCACCTTACTATTGCTCCCTGCTAACACACAGATATTATACACGTGTACGTTCATAATTACTCAGCTGAATTTAATGAATGGACAAGTTGAATTTCTTTGTAAACATTTTTGAAGTTTTCCATCACTTTTGGAAAGAAAAACAATTGGCAATAGAGTCATTATAGCCATTGGAACCCATCTCTAATACCTCGGTGGCAAAGCTTAAAAAACGAGACAACCTTTGCATTGTACTTTGGTAGCTTGAGTTGAAGAGTTTACTCTTACTTCAAGGGATTAGTTTTTTTTTTTAAGTTTCCATGACGGTGCCAATTGGTGCTCTTCGTACATTTTCAGTATAGAAACTGGAGCTATGAATTGAGACTCAATAGTCTTTAGGTGACATTTAAAGTCATAGCTCATAGCTTTGTGATTTTTATTTATTTGTTTTTGGTACATGTGTCTCTTTCTTTACTTATTTAAATTGGCAAATAAAAATTATACATATTAATATTTATGGAGTACAACATGATGTTTTGATATATGCATATACTATGGAATGGCTGAATCAAGCTAACTAACACATTCATTACCTAAGGTACTTAATTCTTTTTCGTGGTGGGAACACTTAAATCAACTCTCTTAGCCATTTTCAAGTATACGATACGTCCTTATTAACTGTAGTCACCACTTGTACAACAGATCTCTTGAATTTCTTTCCCCCGTCTAACTGAAATTTTGTATCCTTTGATCCACACCTCTGCAACGCTCCTCCCACTCCGTTTCCAACACCTGGTAACCACCATGGTCCTCTCTGCTTCCACGAGTTCACCTGTTTCAGATTCCATCTACAAGTGAGATCATGCAGTATTTGGCTTTCTGTGCCTGGCTTGTGTATCATTTTTTAAATCACTGTGGTATACAGTAGGCACTCAGAATGTTTCTTGAGTACATGAATGACTAAAAAATTCAGAAACCCTCCATTTTAAGATACATTTAATATGAAATTACAACAATGATAATGAATTATGCTAGCTAATGTTTACTGAGTACGAATATGCCAAGTGCTGTTCTTAGAGCTCTTGAGTACATTACATCATTTAATATTCATATCAATTTTATGAAGTACTGTTCTATCTCTTTTTTATAGTTGAGGAAATTGAGATACAGAGAAATTAGGGGACTTTCTAAGGCCTCATAGTTAATAAGTGATAAAGTTAGGAATTGAACCCAGGCAGCTTGACTCCAGATTCTTTTCTCCTAACCTTACACTGTACATCAGGAAGGAAAGAGTGGATTCGACAACTCTGGGGTGCTAGCGTGGAAGGAAAATCAGCAACAAACCAGAGCTGTCGCCCAGTGAAATATTATAAACATGACCGAGTCTCGACTGTCGGTCCTCTGATCCCAGAAGAGATGTGTCACATTTTCTGCCCAAATAGTTCATGTCTTTCCCATTGTTTACAGCGTCTTTTCTGATGGCTTTGCTCTAATAAATGGCATGTGTTCATTGCTTCTTTTTCAAACTTTCCTGGAAACATCACGTAGTTCATTTTAGGGAAGCCCTGAGAACATTAATCTGCTTTATTGATATGTATGACTAATTATTAATGTCATTGCAAAGGAATTTATTTTTAAAATGAGAACTCAAAATAATGAACTGTCTCTCGTACGACTTCACGGCAGTAAATGATCATTTATCTTCAGAAAGAACACATGAGTTTTCGTGAAAGGGAGTAAGCTCCCGAAACATACATGCGGAAAAGATGGAACACTCAGAGCTTGCTGCGACTGATGAGTATGGCCTCCTAGGGTGTGCTGCTTCGCACGTTTTCGTTGGTTTTGTTTTTAACTTGAGCATGAATGACTTTTGTTTTTCCAGACCATCACAGAGAAACATAAGCTAAATGTTCCTGAGACGATGACTGAGGTTCTTGATGTCTCCGATGAAGAGGGTAAGACTTTTATTCCATTTTCTGTGACAATTGTCATGCTCTGGCACAAAGGCAAGTCATCGGTTTTTTCGGGACCACGCTGGTGCTGTGGATGACAACATCTTAACATTTAAAGTCACTTCTTCACCTTTGTTTTGATATATTTATTTTTGCCATGGCAAAAGGGGCTGGAAGGGAGGCTCTGACTAGTGTATTTTCTCCTGGTGTTATCGTTAATAAATGTTCTGTTATATTAACTAACAGGACTGGATGAGGGGAAGGGAATTGGAAAATTGCTACTGATAATACAATTACTATTAAAATGTGTTTCACTTATGTTAAAAAATATTTTTATATTCATATACCTTAAAGTATGCCTCATCAATGAGGACCCTCCATCAATTGAGAAATCTCAATGGAGAAATTTCTGCATTCTGAATGGTTTAAATGTGTGGAATATGTTTTAAATCCGGAGGGAAATACCCCTGGAGTAGGTTGAAAAATAGCACAACAGCAAGTAGTACAAATTCAACATAAGAATGTAATTCTTTATGCCCCTTATAGTTTAGAGTTGATAATAAATGATCCCAGGCAGGGGATCTCAAAGTCCTGAGAAGTTTCTGGAAGGAACTAGGGCCTGCCTGCGATCAATGGGGCATCGTGCTGGAGATCAGGCCACTGGGGTTTTTGACTCCTGACTTCTACTTCAACTATAGTAGTTGACTTTTCTTCATTTTATCTTTTATCTCTTGCTAAAAATCATGAAAGTAGCGTATGAAATATGCAACCAAGTTTCAATAGTGCAGCTTTGGTCCAATGTACTTGATTGAAAAATTATTGCCATAAAGGATGGTACTAGGCCTGATACTAATTGCTTTTATGGAAAAATATTAAAGGTATTTCTTTAGGGTCTTCAAGATAAAATCATAAGATAAAACTTCACATTGAGATGTCCTTATTTGGAACCAATTTGTTAAATCACCTATTGGCAATAGGCATGGAGTAGTCTCAGCTTTTATAAGAATTTATGACAAGAATGGACAGATTCTGGATCAGTGTATTATTATGTGTAAATTAAAAAGTGTTGTGAAAGCCAGCAGTTCCAAGGATTTATTATAATTTTGTGTTCTGTCCTAATACTCACCAACTAATTTTCATCATTCCCATATGCACACCATATTTTGTTTTGTGGGATCATCTTTCTTATCTTTTACTTGTATGTTGAACAGCTTTTAAACAGTCTGGTGACCACTTTATTGATGGGGAAGCACTTAGTGATTCAGGTACCATTAGAGGAAATTGTTGGAGTGAAAGCTTTTCTTTGCTTTTAATTTTTTTTAACTGGACAGCAGCAAATTGCTTAATATTTAAATTTGAGTTCCTAATACTAATCTGTTTCTTTTGAAATACCATGTGTAATATGAGTGGAATTGTATATGTGTGCATTTGAATGTGTGAATTTTATTAACTTAGAAGCTTAAAACCGTGAATTGTTTATACTATTAATCATTGTGCAACTGTTATTGAGAACTATTAACATAATTATATTATCTGATGAACATTATATAAGTATTTTTCCACAACTAGTATCTTTTCTTAGAATATAAATTTAGAGGAAAAGTAATACTTTGATAAGTTGACACTGAACTAGTTTATGTTAATAACTAAGTTAGACTGCTGAAAATGAATGCAGTTCGTATCATCCTCCTTGGTTGATGGTATATTTAAGTGTAGTAAAAAATAAATTAATAGTCATAATATAATTTTTTAAGGTAACTAAGAATAGAAATAAAGTAACCTTTAAAAATCATTTAGGGAAAAAATTCATATAAAACATTCTATCTAGCAAGAAGTTTCCAAAGTACATGTGGTATCACTTTGAGCCACCCTATTACATGAAAATCTAAATTTATAAGTCAGATAAATTAGACAGTGATTATTTAATTTAACAAAGCTGTTTATTTATAAAATAACTGTTAAAGAATTCCATTATCTAATGTACTTAAAGTAATTATTATTGGGTTTAGAGAAATTCCATTTATATTAAACAGCCTCTCAGACTTGGCCTATTGCATAAAATGAGATTAGTTATAACATTCTGTAATTTTATTATTAAAACTGCTATATATTAAAAGTTATTGGTGATAAGAACTCTTGATTTGAGGAATACTGGCAAATGACCAAGAATATCATCTGTGGTAAGAGTCTTCCATTTTTAGAAATAGCCAAAAACTTAATAACATTTTTTTCTCAGAAGGAAATTCAAGTTGAATATTTTTTATGTAAAGAATCTATTTGAGTATCGTTAAGTAACTTTTTCATGCAAAGAATTAGTATAAAGGAAGTCGGCCGGTTGACATTACCAATCCTTTCATATTTTGTGCAGTTAAAATGTCTTCATGCAACCTGCTTTCATCCACGTGGACACAGCGCAGCCACATGTTTGGAAATTATTAGCCAATCCCTGTTTTCCCTATAGCATCTACTATTTTAATAGTAGTAACAGTGTATCAATGCCCCAACAGAGTATTCAAACCCAGTATAGATGTCCTTTCAGGCTAACTTGCTATACACGTATTAAAACAATCAGCAGTATTCACTCGTGAATCCAATTAACAAAGAGTGAATGTGATGTTAATTGCATGGAAAGTTCTCCACTCAAACAAATAAGAGCTTAAGATTTTAATCCAAAATATTATATTGAAACAGACCCTCATCCTATTTCCTCCCTTGACTTGGGCAAGGAAGTAGTCGTACTACTACTTGCTCATGTAGGTAATTTACAGAGAGAAGCAGGTTGGCAGGGGATGGGTGAAGAAGGTGAGTTCTATCTTGGAAATGCTAAACCTGAGATGCTCGTAGGAAATTCAGGAGAAGTCCAGGAGGCTACTGAAATGTGGAAGTCGAGTCATGAGAGAGGTCTGGGATGATACAAATTTGTGTGTAGGCATTAAACAGTGGTACTTGAAGTCCACATGATAGGATGTGAAATCAGAAAATAGGGCAGATGGGCAACGTCAACATCTAGGGGAAGCAGAGGCTGGGAAGAAAGGCTCAAAGAGATATGGGAAGACCAGGAGAACTTTGCATCAGAGAAATTAAGGAGAGTAGTTTTCCAAAGAAGAAATCAACTCTTGGCCACTGATAAATTGCTAAAAATCAGCAAGCATCTGTTTAATAGGTTTGACTGTGAAAGGAGGAGGAGTCAGGGTGTGAGATACAGAAGGTGTAAGAGTTGGGGGAAGACGTTGCTGTCTGTCAAAGATGGCAGATGCAGGGTGCTTCGTGGAAGGGGAGGGGCTCCCGCAGCATCTGTGGTGGACGAGGGGAAGCTGAAGGTGAGGGCCCAGCAGACAAGTGTCTAAGAAGATGAGCAGGACGAGGACCTGGAGGCAGGGACGAGCTAGCTCTAGACAGGCAGAAACTGCCTCCCCTACCAAGGGAGACAAGAATATGATTGTCGTATTTTGGGGGCACATTAAACACGTTTAAAGCTGTGAGCTGAATGGAGAATTTGTAGTGACGGACCAGCTTGGGTAATTTTTTCCCCCCCAAACTGATTTTTTACCTTCTGCTGATTTCTCCTGGCAGTCGCATTCTGTCTCTCACTGCTGATGTGTACTGCCAAGTCGCATGCTTCACACACAAGTGTCTTAGAGAGAAATCGTATATAGCACTGACAAGATTCGTCCCCGGACGGGTGCCTTTCCAGCTAATGCCAGCGTTGGGTTAGGTTCTAGACGCCAATTCCAGCAGTTGGGGGCTTTGCTTCTCTGGGCCATTTCTCTCTGAGACATCATCACGACATCAGGATATATATCCAAGGCCACCAGAGGGGTCCCAAAAACTCTGAAACCTCTCTTTTTTTTAGTAGCACTGAGCCCAGCAGCTGCCGCAACGCCGCCAAAATGCAGACGGAGAGGGAGCGTGCGAGGGGCACCCGCGCTCTCGGACCTCAGAGTCGGCGGTTTTTAAATGGTGCCTCGACTCGCCGTAAGAGTCACAAAAGTTTGATATATTTGATTAAAAATGTACTTTCCAAATGGCTTTCATTCAGTCTTTCCACAAGATTCTGTACACATAGCAGGGCACGGCGAGGCTCACGTAGCTCGTTTGCGTGTTCTACACAGTAAGACACCGGGCCCTGTGCCTTCGGACCTGGAGTCCAGCCGGCTAGACTGTCCTCTCTTACCTTTCTCGCCTTTTCTTGCCTTCACCCTCAGCCCTCCTCTGCCTCCCAAGGTCTAACAAAAGGGAAAGGTAGGTGGGAGGAATAAGAGCACTTAAAATGTGGGCCCTATTTTATCAAGGAGTTTTGAGGAATTTTAAAGACCAAGACATTAAAGCTGACTTTGAGTTGTATTCGGTCCCTGTGAGTCTCTTGGCTGATGAGAGACCGTCGTGAGAACTGGCACGTTCAGAGAAGGAGATGAAATGCAAACACAAGTCGACTCTGGGAGGGACAGGGTGCCCTAACCTGGGTAGTGTCAGGCACTTGGTGCCAGGAAGCAAAGCTCAGCGATGTTGGATTGTCGGAGGTCAGGGTAGGGCAGTAGAGTGGGGGAAAGAGAGAGACAGAGAATTCAAGCAGACTTTTGGTTTTTAAATAATCTTTTCTGGCCTCTTGCTCAAGGGATCCATAATGCATAGCTGGTGTTATGCCTGGATTGTGCAACAGATCGTGCACTCGACCACCCCTTCACGTCCTCACGCAAAGGAATAGACTTAGTCTTCCCGAATGTTAATAGAACGACACTCTCATCTTTTTTCCTGAAAATGATTTTGGCTTATACCCAAAGCGGGACTGCCTGTGTTTTGGTAAATCTATAGTTAGAATTCAACCTAGCATTTTTTTCTCCCATAAATAAACAAAGGAGGGGGTGTCCCAACTTAATATTAAAAGAATTGCAATCAGGTAATTATTTCTTCTTGGTAAGTAATAAAAAAAAATCAACTACTGTTTCTCTAGGTTTTAGTACTTTGCAACTGTCTGCCTGTGTTCTGTGTTCTTCTGGAGTGCGCTGTTTCACTAACGTCAAGGCCATTTTGTTGATGCATTTCGCAATCAAGATCATGTTTCGTAGTTAATATTACATTCAACAAATAACTTTCCATCTTCCTCTGATTGTTTCAAGGTGATGACACAATGACAGGTGATGGGGGAGAATACCTCAGGCCTGAGGACCTCAAAGAACTGGGTGATGACTCGCTACCCAGCAGCCAGTTCCTGGACGGTATGAATTACCTGCGATACAGCTTGGAGGGAGGCCGATCCGACAGGTATCACGCAAAGCTTATCCTTGATGTCAGGCAGAGGCGTCGGCAACACATTGTCATGGTGATAATAAAAAAACAGATGCAATCATTAGGCACTTAATAGGTACCACTCTCAGCAGTTAGCATGTTTTCTTATTCCATTCTCTAACAACTTTTGGAAGTACCCATTTTAAAGAACAGGAAACTGAGGCCTAGGTCAACTAAATAACTTGGTAAAATCAAACATCTAGTAAGATGCAAAACCATGATAAGTAAGAGCACTCTGCCTTCAAGTATGATGTTTTTAATGTTCTGCCACTTTTTTCTCTAGGCAAATTAAGAGGACGGTTTTGCCTTATAGACACTTACTGAATGGTGTCTATAGATACTTCTAATTCTCCCTGCTTTTTTGTCAGTATCGCAATTTCTGTGAATAAAAGTATGTCGTGAGGCAGAATCAAAAAGAAGTGAATTCAGAAGAAAACTGTTCCTGGAACTGACTTTTTTTTTTTTTATAAAAAAGGAATCAGAACAGAACCCCACATGAGCCTGGATATAAAGATCTATGTGAGCGAAATCCAAGGGAGCCCGGCTGCTACCGGCGAGTCTGGGAGGTTTATATAATATTCTGAAATGTATGATTAATGCTGTTTTTTGGTTATTATCACCTAATACAACTGGTGCTTGTTAATTTTTGAGGCAAGCTAAATAAGAACGTTCTCTGGTGCCTCATTGGAAGTGTGATCGCTAATTTAGGTCAAGCATGTGGTCGTCCATGTAGCGTAATGTCTTTTGCTAATCACCAGTCTCGGGTTTATGGTTTTAAAGTTGGCTGCATTGGAAGCTGTTTTATGAATATGCAGCATATTTAGGGTCCAAGAAATAAATATTTTGAGTAATCAATTCTAAGTGGATAATTAGCAAAAAAAAAAATTTTTTTTAACAATTCAGTGTGGATATAATAAGGGCCTTTCCGTGCCAGGCTGTGTGGTAAGTGCTGGAGATAAGATGTGCCCACTGACTTCATAGCCTAGTGGGCGGGAGAGGACCCAGCTAGTGGTGTGCGCAGTGTCACTGGAGCTCTGAGCCCAAGCTTCCTGGAGGAGATGAAGCCAAACTGACCCCGAATGATGACGACGAAAGGGGGGGAGGGCATCTGAAGGTTTAACACGGTCATGAGCAAAGGCTGCCGGTGTGTGTGAGACACAGAGTGGTGCTGTGTTGCTGGGGTGTAAACGTGGAGGATGGGAAATCACACTCGCATGTTCGGTGGATCCTTCAGCCGGTGAGATAGAGGATGAATTTTAGAGGAGCATCGTCAAAAAGCTAAACCCGCGGTTGCAGCCATCTGAGAGGCTGCTGCAGTAGCATTAGCTGCAGTTGTGGAGAGGGCTTGAACGCTAGCCTTGGTGGCAGCCATGGAGAGTCATCCTCCAGCTCAGGACACAGAGGAGGAGCCCCTCCGGAAGCGGGAGTAGGATGGACTGGAGACAGGGTCTGTGTTACAGATACTGAGTTTTGATACGTTGATAGGTTTGGACCTTATAATTTGAGATTCTTAAAATACCTCAAATTTTAATAAAATATGATATTTATGGTTTTGCATGAATTCATAGTAATTTATGAATAGTGATTACTGCCAACCAAAGTGCCTTTATTTTAAGCATGGTCTCTTTTTAAGAATAAGTGCTCGATTTGGTCCTTTTCTCTTCTTTCAAAGTACTTAGGTTGAGAAATAATTTAGAATAATACTTTCTGTAAAACAAGATGGCTGGTTTGATGCATCTACTTAAACTGCATACTTATCAGTGCGTAAGGACAGGGGGCACGAAACAAACAAGACACGATCTATTCTCCAGGTCTACACTTGCATTTCTAGAGCACCGGATGTATTCATGGTCTTGGAATTGGAATTACAGGCAGCGTCTCATTTTCATGGTGCTCTTGTTTTGTTTTATTTTTTTCATTTTGTTTAGGCAATTCGATATGTTACCTTTTTTCGGTGACCACTTTTCCTTTTCATTATTTCTTTATTTGAATTGCTGTCAATAGTACCATGCCCAGGTAGGTATTAACATAGCGTAAAACATGCTCTTCCTGGAAACATCCACATCTCCCTGCTTACTGCTCAGTGTGTATGTGTGTGCATGGGGGTGCTTGTGTTCTAGAATTATGGATTTATTCTCAAATTAAGATTTTTATGTGTTAAATTGAATAACTATTTGAGCCAGAAGAGGTGAATGAATATATTACTAGAATGAAAGTCTGTGATATGACCCCGGGATTACTTTGCTTTAACTTTCACAGCTCCACCTTGTGGTTGATAATATATTAGCGTAGCTTCCCCAAAACAACCCTCATTAGCCTATGTATATAGCTGGAGAAAATAGAAGAAAGATTCAGATGCCTAAAATAAAAATAGATGTGGTAGAATAAAAATACAAGCAATTTAATGAACATTAAATAAAAACACAACCGAGTTCAGATTAGTTGGATTTTTGTGTCCTTTTTATTTTTTTATTGCTCACAAATTCAAAATGCTGTGCAAAGTCAATATAAAATACGAAATAACAATGAACCGCAGAAGCTTCTTCATATTTTAAAGAAAACACATTGAAATTTTTGGATATTTATTTGTTCAATAGGGTTTGCAACTCCATTAATTGGATGTCTAATAAATATTGCAGTTTACCAAGATAGTAATTATTATACTTTTTAATGAAATTATACTTTCATATTAGCTAATGTGTCCATAAAGCAGTTGCACCTTAGTTTTTTTAAAAAAGTATTAATTAAGTGCATAACAAAACTCTTGGCACAGCTCCTAGCTGAAGAGCAAGTAAAACTTTGTACTTCTATGGATATGTGTTGTCAAAAGTGTATTAACTGAACAGCAGCACCTCTGACTTAATGAAAAATTAGCAACCCAATTGCAAAATATTTAAACTTGTTTGTAATGTCTTAAATCAGGTGGACAATTCCTGATTCAGAGACTTAAATTGTTCCAGACCTTTGTTGTGCTGGTTATTATGTCTTTAGAGAGAATAATTTCTCTGCTGTTAGAATATTCTATCTTTATTTCATTTAAGTAGATTCTGTGATGTCACGGGGGAAAAAAGGGCCATTAGAAAGTATGCACATTGATTAAATAACCAATTAGCATTTCAAAAAGCAGTAAATAGAGTGGGCTAGAATAAAATCCAAAGAGAGATTAGACATATTCATTCTCCCTCCCCTCTCTGTCCAACTTTTCTCACGCTCTGTCTACATATCCTAATGTCTTTCTCTCTTTCATCACCTTTTTTGTGGTTGTACGTCACTTTGTTTCTTTCTTTCCTTTCTTCTTCCTCTGTATTTCTTTCCCGTTGGGGTTTTAGGAAAGCAAAAAATAAATAAATAAATAAAATAACACCAACACTCTCTACCCTTCACGGTTCAAAACCAATTGAGATAGACCCAAGTATCAGGTAGATGTCAAAATTCCACCTTTTTACTAATACACTGATTTCAGAATGTGGCTTCACATTCACAGCCAAATGGGCTCCTTAATGCCACGTTCCTGAAACAGACAGACTTGTCCACCCAGTCATCGTCACTCGTTGAGAGTAGCAGTTGAGACCTGATGCCTTCTTTGAAAGTTTAGACGTTTACAATGCTGGCAGCTGCATCACTAGTCCTGTATCACAGTGCCTCTTGCTACTTTTGCACTGTTGATTCATACAAATGTAGCACCTTTAAAGGTGGGAAGTCATAGTCCAGAGCTGTGAATTCTAAATCCATGGGTGGAGATTATGTAATTAACAAATCTGAGTCCAACAGAAACCACTTGAGGGGGAAGATGGTTGAGCCCATAAAAAAGCCCTATCATTTTCAGAGGTTGGCCCATCTAACTATTTTCCTTTCTTTGGCCTGATTCAAACCAAAATAGTGCTGCCTGGTACAAAACACATCCAAGTGGATCTTAGCTGTCTTTGTGGTTTAAAGCAGGAAATAAATGATTCATCGCATTAATTGAGACAGGCTTTTGTGGAGACTGAAGACCATTTTCCCAATAATTTAATCCCCATCCGAGCCTCAGTTTCAAGGTCAGGTCAAGATTCGTCACAGCAGCCTGCAGGCAGTTGATAAAGAACAATGTTGGAAGCCAACTGCTGCATGACTGTAAAACCAGCCATAATATAAGCTGCCCCCAATGGCTGGGCCCTGTCGATGAATTTACTGCAGTGGTCCCCAACCTTTTTGGCACCAGGGACCATTTTCACGGAAGACAATTTTTCCACGGCCTGGGTGGGTGGGGGAATGGTTTTGGGATGTTTCAAGCACATTACATTTATTGTGCACTTTATTTCCATTATTATTATAAAATTTTATTATTATATTACATTATATATTAATATAATGAAATGATTATACAACTGATCGTAGGTTGGGGACCCCTGTCCTAAGGCATCCAGCCTGTTCCTGCCTCTGCTCTGTCAGGAGTATCAATCTTCTGCAAGAGCCTATATAACATAAAATAGCTAATTTTCAAGTTGTATTTATATTTCATTTTATCATAAACACACAGATTTAGATGGATGGAAACACACAGGATCAGACAGTCAACTCTTTTGATTCATGTCACTTATGCTCTAGGACTTGAGGTCTTTTTTTTTTTCTTCGTAAATTTACTTGCGAAAAGAAGGAAGGAGTCCCTAGATTATCTACATGAATTATCTACAAAATGATGTTTCCCTCAATGACCATTGAAGTTGGCTACATTGATGCCTCATAAAGATGATAGTACATGACTTACAAAATTAAATGTATTTGCAAAATGAAAATAGTTTCTATTAATAAGTAGGCTAACTTGACATTTAGTCCATAATTCTACAGTGCTTCACTGGCCAAATACTTGCTAAAAGTAAATGAAAGTTTGCATCTATAAATATTGTGAAAGCTTGAATATCTTTTTTTCCCCTATGGGCTTTGGGCTAACATCTTGAATACAGATCTTTAATTCTTAGACTGACATGTATAAAATATGGCTTATTTGAGATAGCAATCTATTTGGCATTTGATTTTACAAATTGATTAAGAAGGAATGAAATCGCATTTCTACAAATGTCAAGTTTTACCTATCACATTTGAGTATGTAATTCAGAACTTTGCAATTCAGATACATCAAAAACGTAAAGCACTGATTATCAAGGCCTAAATCCCATTGTGAAGCTGAACCTTATTTTTGGTCAGTGTCCATTGGCAATTTGTCTTTGTGCTGGCAGATGTGTCTGTTCTTGGCTGGTGCTTAGAAACGGTTCCTTGTGCTCTTGCATCTCATCGCCACGGCAACCAACACTCCTGGTGCTTCACTCACCACACACAGTTCATGCAAAGGGGACGGTGCTCTCTCGTTTGAAATAATAGCATTGTTGGAGTTACCAGAGCCAAACAAGAGGAACTCCACTTCCGCAGGAAACATGCATCTGGTCACAGTTCATTTCACTCTGTACCTTCCAGGGGAGTGCACTGACCTTCAGCCATTCGCAGTTTAGAGAGGAGGAGAGAGAGGCATGGAGAGAGAATGGAAAATAATGAGCGAAAATGAAACCTGGGCTTTCATTTTGTTCTTCTGTCTGAGGGCTGTGTCTGCATTCCTCCTAATATTTTTCTTAGTTGCAGGGAGCTTAACAATTGACACAGTTTTAAGCAATCTATCCTAGAATTATTTCCTGTGTGAATTTCTCATACTGGCAGTAAGTCAACTGCAGTTGCTGGTTGCAAACATTTCTGGGGAGAAAATGAATCAGATTAGGAGTATCAGATTTTAACTTCTGGATTCCCTTGTGCCCTTGCCATTGAGTGGCAGGAACCTGTCAAAGGATGCGTTAGTTTAGCTGTTAGACAGAGAGGGAGGGCAACACAGAGACCTGTGTCCCCCTGGAAGTTGCACTGTTGGCTAATAGCACGCTTTTTTCACTCTCCTGCTTGGCTCGTCATTTTATCCTCCCAACCATCCCACTGCCGTTGGTATATGACCATGGCCTCCTGCCAACCTACCAGCCTTCGATCCTTCAGTTCCGACAGGTCTCACACCCTGAGCCATGCCTCCTACCTGCGGGACAGTGCCATGATTGACGACTCGGTCGTCATCCCCAGTCACCAGGTAAGTGACTTTTTTGCCTTCATCTCTTTGCATTCTGGAGAGCTTTTTAAATTACCTGATGCTAGTAATGTCCTGAGAAAGTTTTCAATCTTAAAAAAATCTTTCTTAATGTAGTCAACAAGCTAGGATAAAAGGGTTTTCCTAAAACGTGAAAAATGTTCTCTACATTTTTTAATGAACAAGGTTTTTCTGAAAAAATATACTGCTTGTTTCTTCAAATATGCCGAATTCTCCTGTGGAGAGTGTATGTATAGATTAGTTTTTTAAAATAAAATTTCTACGAAAGGAAAAAGTGAGGTAGGGTGCATTTAAGGTATGAGATGAATGGTATAGGTTAAAATATATATCTTTCAATATTTAGTCGTTAGCTATGGGGAAAGGCTTAAAGTTTATTCTGGAATATTTTAATTTTAGTTATGATTTTATCGATTTGGGGGATTGGTATAAGGAAAGAGATGGATACCTGCTCTCTTCAAAAACAATTACATTAATGTAATCTTGTATCAGTGATATAATTTAAAAGGGAATGCGTTCAAAAAGATTCATTTTAAATGCACTGGTCCTATATTTTTGAATGAAAGTTTTTTCAAGTGATACCACTTCCCCATGATGCTACTTTTTAGATTTCATTTTATTTTACTTTAATGGAAGTGAAGTGTTTTTATTAAATCCAGTGTTCTTTGTGTTTAGGTGTCAACTCTAGCCAAGGAGGCAGAAAGGAATTCTTATCGTCTAAGCTGGGGCACTGAGAACTTAGACAACGTGGCTCTTTCTTCCAGCCCTATTCATTCAGGGTGAGTAAATCAATATGATGTTCCAGATCAAGAGGAAAAAGAGATGGGAGTGAAAATAACAGCTTTGTCCAGTAGCTTTCGCTGATGGCCAGCTTACAGTGGAGGTGATCTTTGTTTAAACTTGCAAATAACATTGCTTTATCCAACATGGACTCTATCTACACAAACCAACCAGCAAAAAGAGTTGATTTCAGCATTAAAAAAACTGACTATTGTTTTAAAATAATTGGCAGAGTTGCGTCAAACAGCTTGCTCTCTAACCGGAACATCCTGGTGGCCTCCCTACTACTGTTCACCTGTTGTCTTTAAGACATCTTTTAAAAAAGGAGCTGAATCATCTGATTTCTAGAAAGTTTCTATTTACTAATATTAACTGATTGGTTTGGGGAAATAAATGCCTTTCTGACATATTAATGCATTTAAAATAATATTTACAGAAGTTTGACTCACATGAGTATGTAGAGGAGTTTATATGCTGTTTGAAGTGGGGATACAAATAAAAAGGGAAATTCGAACGCAACCAGGCAGGTTCTGTTAAAGTTGTTGTCTTACAGTCATTCAGAGAGGACAGACACCACGGTTTCAGCCCTGCTTCCTGTTTACATGAACTCATTACAAAGTAGGACTTTGAGTCAGACTTTCAGACATACTTAACGTTGTTCTTAAGGTGTTCAATTATGTGGAATAAAAATTCTTTAAGGAGTTTTAAATTGTGACAGTCTTGCAACTGGTTTTTTCCTTACATTTTTAGTAGTTTGAAATAATATGGTAATATCATAAGTATATGTAAAATTCTCATTTTCTAAATTTAATTACTTTTTAAAAGCCCTACCCATATTTTACATAACAAAATGCAATACTTTGGTTTTAATTATTATCCCAAACTCCTTGTTCATATCCCCATAACTATTTTGAGAAGGAGACCCTTTCTTGTTTTTATTATTCTAAAATATTCTCCTTTCAGGAAATCGTTCCAAGATATTTTAGTTAAACATGTTGGACTTCTTGGTCTAATCTTCTACTAACTAAAGGTTCATAGAAGAAAAAAATCAGTTACGGAGGTATTGAAAGTAATCATAATATTTTTTTCCTTGTGAAAGAAGTGAAAGCTAGTTCCTGATGCAAGAATTATTCAAGGGAATTAAAAAACCAGACAAATTAAATCTCATTCAAATTTACTTACGTGTAAAAAGATAATTAAAATCTCACACCTATAAATTATTCAAAAAACAACATTGCATTCTGCTATTAGATTTCTCAACAATAGTGAGTGAGAAGGAAACGAAGGCTGGACATTGAAGGATAATAGATAAGAATTTAAAAACCACGACGAAGTATTTAAAGACCACATCCAGCCTGCAAAGTGATGAGATTATTTTAGATAAAATGTAATTAATTATTAATAACTGCATCTACAAAGGAGTCAGTGTCCTGGTAATACTTCAATTTTTAAAATAAATTATTTACACTAAAAAGGAACTTCTTAAAGAAGTTTTTTAATTACTGAAGGGCAATGAAATACTCAGTTTAAGTACATCAATTATACACCAACTGTGTAAAACTAGATACACCTATAAATAATTATGGTTGATTTCTTATAATTAACCAACAACATCCAATGGCTAAAGATTAATTATTTATTAAGGTAAGGATCTTTAAAACCATAGCCTTCAATAACCCAATTTTTCTGTCAATGTCAAACATTTAATATTGACTCTAATTCTCAGCTTTAGCTGTACATTAGAACCACTTAGGAGCTTTAAAAAATACTGGTTCCCCGGCCTCAACCCAGACCAATTTCATCAGAATTTCTGTTTTGGGGCCCTGTCATTAGTATTTTCTACAAGAGCCCGTAGTCCAGATGTTTTATATAAACCATTAGAAGGGGAAAACTTTGCTTAGTGAAGCTTTGTAAAGGTTATTCAGGAGATCTAGTTAATTAATGTACAGCTAGTTCTATCATATGTTCTTTATCTCTTCCATTCACATATGTATTCATTCTTCACACATTTATCTAATTCCACAGAGTACCAGAAATTTTGCCAGGCGCTTAGGAAAATAGATAAATAAGGTCTATCTACTGCCTTTAAGAAACGAACCTACATGTTGTTATTTAAAGGTGGAAGACACTTGATCTGTGAAAGAGAGAGAAGCATCGTGGTAGAGCATGTGCTTTGGAGTCGGACCTATCAGGTTTCAGATCCTGACACTGACAATGTGTGACACTAGATACAAGTTACGTAAAATCTCTGAGTTTCAGTTTACTTATCTGTAGGATGAGAGTTATATTATTGATCCCAGAGAGGAGATTTAAGGATTAAATGTGTTTTAAATAATTAGCACTTTCCCTGGAAAGAAAAAGCACTCAACAGATTGTAGCCATTAGTATTTATACAATCCCCATACACATGTTCCAAACCTTTCACAAACTGCAGATCAGTTAAGCAAAATGTATCCCGAATCCTCTAAGTGACAATACCAATGTGGCTCAACACATAATGGTAATGTTTGACTTTTTGTTAGTTTTATCAGGTAAATTAGCACCTATTAGTGGCTCTAGTATTTGAACAAACACAATGCCACAGATGACTCTAAAAGCATGGGTAATTATCACTGGAAACTCCATGATTCTGAGTTTCATGGTATTTGAAAGCAGCCCTGATATTAGTGTATATGAGTAACATTCCTCATACCATGTCATGTGACACTGATTTCTTGTAATTTTATTCATCATATACCAGGTTTCTGAATGGTATCTTTTATATATTTTTTTTTGAGGAACTCAGTTTCCTTTTCATTAATTGTGTAGGTTCTTCAACCACTTCAAACTTTGCCCAAAATGTAAGAAAAAAATGACATTTTGATAGGGGGATAATAAAGTTAGCTTTTTATGCACATGCCACTAATTTGTATGTATATGTTCTATTACATTTAATAAAGGCATTTTAGGTATTCTATTAGGCATTAATAGAAGACACAGCCTCTAAGTATTGGCGATTTTATTTTACCTCTAGTCTATGTTTCCAATGACTAATGTCCATGACTAGAGAAGAATGGGTATGAATGATTTAAAAAATCTGTTCTGCCCCTAGATATAGCCAATACCTGGCAAATAAAAGACTAATAGTAATATTTTTGTTGTTCTTTAAAGAGTTGCCTACTGATTCACAATGACTCTAACCAACAGTTACTTCTAGCATCCCATTCATGATCATACCAAAACAAGCTTGGGCAAGAGTTTAAATTCTACAATTCTTCATTTCCTAAGTGCATGATGAATTAGAAGATGTAAGGCACAGTTCCTAGCAAAAGCTGGCTTTATAATTCATCTTAAATATCGTTATTCCAAAGGCCATCAGTTTTGTAGTGTTGTAATGACAGCAAGTGCTAACAATTACATGTCAATTCATGATGTTGTTAAGTTAATTTGGTTGCTCATGTATTTTGTAACACTCTAGGGGAGTTTTTTAGACACGTGAAGATAGACGAAGAAAATTGGTTTATAATAAGTAGCAAAACAACTGTTTTGTAAAATTAGATTTCTGGTCCAATAGACATGTACCCTTTTGTATGTCATCCAGTGTTGGGAACACAAGAGAACCATGTGAAACGTATGGAGGGTTTAAGGAAGAGCAGACCTGTACCTAGAAGAAGAGTAGCAGGCAGAACCGTAGAGGGATTAGACACTGTGACCCATGGGGAGGACAGCAATCCCCAAAGCTGGGAGCAAAGTCTTGACGAAAGCACTAAGACTTTGCTTGCATAGTTTTTTTGTTCCCTTCTAGTAGGTAATTAATGTTACCTACTCTGCCTTGTAGTTTATGCTACTGTTTGTCCTTGAAGCTATACTTTAAATTGTGGCTTTCTGTTTGCATTTCTTCTGTGGTGGCCTTAAAGGGCATTATCATTATTTTTAAAGAATTACAGGTATGAATGGAAAGCTTTTGCATCAAAACTAAGTCCATCAAAGTCCATCAAAACTAAGTCCATCCTAAAAACACCAAAGACCTGATGTTTTTCATTATGATACCCCTTGATGTTTTGCTGCATTTTGGACACTTAGACTTTGTCACGTGCCCTCACAAGCCGATGTTGACTGAGGCTACAAATCCCATTTGCAGTGATTTTATAACCTCCCCAGTTTCCTAAACTGGGAGTCACCACAAAGCCCCATCCCTCGCTCTTCTCTCGGCATTTGTGTAGAGCTATGTCTCATCTGGATTTTCATTTTCTTTGATGAATGCTGTATCGGTATATAAATAATATGTTTCAGTTGAAAGTCTCTTCTGAGTTCCTTTTTTATATTTCACTGTCTCCATTCCTTCTCTGTGCTAAAGTATCTATTCTGTTGCAGCCGCACCTCTCCATGTCTCGATCGTGACAACAGCAGGTGAACTTCTGCATAATTCTCCTCTGACCACGCCGCCTAGTCCTCTCCCCCTTTCGCCATCTCCTTCTGCATACCCCTGCCTCAGGATGCTTTAGTGTGAAGATACCTAGCCAAAGAGACAGTTTTATTGAAGGTTATGATTTTAAGTGGCACTTACAAGGGTTTTTTTGTCTTGTTTTTTTAGTTTTTTTAAATACCATATTCTAGGTAAGCCAAAGGCTGAAAGTTTATTAAAGCACATTTCCTTGCTAGTACTGCTTTAAATGCAACCTTTTGATATTTTGGAAATTGTACTCTAGAATGGCTTAGTCAGTGTTCTAAAAATATTCATTATTCTGTTATTTATTTTGATGAACTTATTTTTAAAGGTTTCTATCAGACTGCTAATTATAGTATTTTTATTATATAGTCATCTATTATGACACTACAGGTTGTCAGTCTACAAAAAAGACAGTTTTATATTTCCTTTTTTTAAAACTTTTATCACCATCCTTAAACTTTTTCTCAAACACACACTGAATATTATCTTTCTATGCATGAATGCAGTGATTGATAAATAATTGGTGATCTTAATATTTCGAACCACTTTTTTCAAAGCCATTTTCCATCA